TATTGCATTGAGAAGATATTTCCTTTAGTTATTTCAACACTCGCAATCTCCGGACAATCAATTTGTTAGATTTGATGAAAGCAATCTGTCTAATTATGTCCGAATTTTTATCACCTGGACATATATACCAGAAATTTAGATGACGTATTTGATATTCTGGCAAGAGGCTTCGACCTACAATTAAATCTCTTAGACTAAACTTTTCAAACAATCGAATATTGCAAATATCGGATGAGTCATTTATTCACTTCTGGAGGTTACCCATCATAACTTAGTGTACTTTGATATTCGTCCCTCTGTTCTCAACGAATCTCATAGAAAGTTGATCGAGAGTTATGGTATCAAGTTATCGACGGATAGTATTTATTTTCTGAATTTTTTTTATTTTCATACATTAAATCTAATTTCCTTTTTTACTTATTATTCATAGGGATATATCCAAATTATTTATGCGAGTTATTGAATTCCACTGAGTGATATTGGTAAAAAGAAATAAATTATGGTCCCTTTTTTTTTATCTGAAATGTTCAATTTGTTTCTCGCACATTAGATATCCATAAGCTATATAAATTTACAAGTTCAGAAAATCAATTCTTTTTAATTAATCGATATGCTAACAATTAATTTGATAGAGTAATAAACCATTTTTTTTCAAATTACAGTCAATCCTCTCTATTGTCAACATGACGGGACCAGGCATTTTCGTTGATATATAAGAGGGTTGATAACTCAGAGGTTAGAGTTAATATCGATATATTAGTCCAAGTTGAAATTTGTTCTGCAATAAATGTTGATAATAAAGAGGTATTAATATTAAAGAGATTGATAATAGAGAGGGTAGACTGTATTATTATCAGAGAATTACTACATGTATAATCATTTCGTTGATACTTTAAGAATACGGTCCTACCTTAAAATTTCTTAATAAATTTATTCAAGCAAAAGTCAGATTTTTTATTTAATATGGCAAATGCTTTACTAATATAAGTATCAATAGATACTCAAAGATTTTAAGTTTAAGATCTTTGAAATCAAATACATAAAAAAGGTTTTTCGTAAACTACTCTAAAATGAATTCAATACAATATAATATATTTTTTCGAAATGAAATGACTTAACTATCTCTGCTGCTTGATCATGTGTGACTTTTTGTGCAATTCCAATGCCGCGTCGATATCTTTGGATACTCCAAATCCATATTGATCACATTATGCCAATTTGAATTGAGATAATGTGTTCCATTTCTTGAAAAATAGTATTTTGTTATATCAATGCATAAATTTTTGACTCAGCTGCTTTTTGGAAACACGAAAATGATTTGTTATATCGCCATACGTTCCTTCGCTGTATAAAACGAGATTATATTGTCCAAGAGAATTTCCAATCTCCGATGATTCCGAGATTATTTTGTACTAAGCATGTTTACCCTTCTCATCTTTTTAAATTCCTATGCTAAAATGATAACAAATGCCACATTTTCCATTAGCAACGCCACCCTCAAAAACCACTCGAATGCTCTTTTCTCGTTTTTTTGAATTCATACACCATTTTATAACAATAGCCTATATTAAATTGTCTTTAGCATCTCCATTTTCTGTTGATTTTAACTACCACTCAAATGCTTTCTTCTTGTTTTGAGTTCTTATGCCAAATTGTAAAAATAACCGATATCATATTGTCCTTTGGCATCTCCACCTTCTGCGGATTTCAAATACTACTCAAATGCTTCATTCTCGTCTTTTTGTGTTCCCACACCTGTGACATAACGATAACAATAGCCGAGATTAAATTATCCTCTAGTATCTCACCCTATGCTGATTTCAAATATCATTCAAATGCTGCTCGTCTTTTTGAGTCCCAATACCTTAATCATAACAAATAACTGAGAATATATTGTCCACTAGTATCTCCACCTCTTTAGATTTTAAATACCACTCGAATGCATTGTATTCGAGCATCTCGGGTTTCAGATGCCAATCAGATACTTTACTATCTTCTTTTATTTATTTTTCAAATTATTAGCGATGGATCAAAATTTTTGAAGGATTATTCTTTCTGACATAATTGATTCGTCTTTATAAATCGATAATAATAATTTTTCTGTTGATATCAATTTCATTTTGACTAATATCAATTTCAGCCTTAAAGCTATCTCTTTCAATTCTTCATTTCGGAAGTAAGCATTCGTCGAGAGATAGTTGATAATCCCTTGTGGAATTTTGAATACTCAAATTTATCGTTGTCTTCATGAAAGAAGCCAAAGGTGCCAATAGTTCTTCCATTTTTTTGATTAATAATTGCATTTTGATATTTTATTATATTACAGTGAGGGACACCAGAAGCTATCCAATCAAATGGGATATTTAAATGGTTATATCTAGAGATGGCACAGCAAATATGTAATGTTTATTTGTCACCTGTTGCAACATGTTGTAACTCCAAAATTTTATAAGCTGCAACTAGGTGATGCTTTATTTGTCACTATATTGCAACAGTTGCTGCACCATCTTTAGTTATATCTCATAGCTCAAAATTTTATTAGTAAAAAATTCACAGCTCGAAATTTTGCTTATAATAATGTCTTGGACGCTATAGGTAATCGAACATTAAGTGTATTAAACAAGTGTTATTACGGAAGTTGATACCATAGAAGAAAACACTTAGGAAACATTTAAAGATTTGGTCATTTCACCGCTTTCCACTTAGATTTTCTAGTAGTAATAAAATGTTCTCTAACGGTACGGACCTGGAATCCTGCAGATCACCTAGAGGTTTTCTACAACAGAAACCATTCTAAACCTCCTCCTTTTTACCAGTGTATATAATCACCTTTAGAATACTGGGAAGACATACTTTGATCAAATAAAAATAACAAGTTCTTACTTGTAGTAATAATATTACTTGTAAATACACTATTATTTTTTCGTTTTGTGATCAAACTTTCAACCTTGCGAGAAATCGCAAGCAGTGTATGTTTCTCCACTCTAATAAGCCGTCGATTTCATTGAATTGATATTTTGTTTGAATATTGAGTTTTTCCTTGATCAGTAAGTCCAGCTATATTTACAATTATTTTAATTAGTGGTTTAATAGATTTTATTATTGAATTGATTCGACTTTCGTTACAAAGAGCAATTTTATTTCTATTTAAAAAACGTCTTTATTGATAAAATGTCAATTGGCGTACAAGTCGCCACAGGAAACCTTTAGAACACCCAAAGAAACCCTTTAATCGTAAATAATTTAGTCTAGCTCTCATCACAGTTGCGAAAAACCCCTCTTTAACCGATAGTACTACTGATGTATAGAACGATGTCTTGAAAACTAATAATGTGCTATTTTGTTTTTTCGTAAATACACATAAAAGTATAGAACATCGAGGATCTCTGCTGGTGTTTTTAGACTCTAACGCTAAGTTTAATTTAATTTAGAGTAAATTAGTTGCAATTTTCTTCTGTATACTTCTTTCAATATTGTTTTAGTTTATTGGAATTGTTTCATTATGAATTTGTATTTTCTTGCTAAACAATTGATATTTCGATATTTCTTTATTTCTTTGATTTCATGTAGTGTACTTAAATCGAAATCTGTTTTTCACCACCAAAAGTAAATAAATTATCACTTTTTGACATTTATATTAATTATAAATTTTGTTTGAATATTAAAGCTCTATGTGACTTATATTGTACCAGTACCTTTATTACACAACACAAATCTAAATTATATGATTATTAATAGATAGATTTTTTATTAATGTAATTAGCGTTAATGAAATTCTACAATGTACAGTATATATAAATTGTAAATTACCAGTTTTTCAATATTTTTTTGATAGCATCTCATTTTTTTAACAGTTCATCTTGAATTTGCAGTTTGCAAAGTGTTTCATCATGAATTTGTAGCTTTTCTTCGAAGACGCTCGATATGCCTTTATTCTCTTTGATTTCATGCGATATACTAAAATTGAAGTCTGTTTTGCACCAACAAAGAAAAAAGATTTTGAATTAAAGAAATCAAGGAAAATAGAATGTTAAATGAAAATATATCTTCGTTCGGAACATACAAACAGACACTTGTAGAGACTAAAATACAAAACAAATTTATAATTAATACGAAACTTTACTATGACTTATATTTAGATACAGTCGTACCTTTATTATTTGGAATTGATATTAGTTTTATGGTAAAGATTCGACTGGTGTAAATTGCATTTGAGTGAATTTGTTGGTTTTTGTTTATATTTGTAGGAATTCTTTTGCAATTTCATCTCATCAAGTTCTTTCCATTTATGTTCTTCTAATTTAAGACATACTTTAATTTCTTCATGTGTTTTAGGATATTTCAAAGTGCTGTAGTATTTAAAATGCATAGTATTCAGTTTTTTTGGCTGCCGGATAGTAAATAGAGTAAATAAAGTCTTTGAATTCCTCAACAGTTGGTCTATTTCTCGAATAGGATCCAACAATTTCAATAATAAATTTGCACCATCCAAGAACATCATTTGGTATCTTAGGTCGTCCTCCTTTATAAATGTCTAATACGAGATCTATATCATGACTCCGCCACCCATTAAATGGTCGTACACCTGTGATAACCTCGTACGTAATCATCCCAAAGCTATAAATATCTGCAGCTTTAGTGTATGGTTTTCCATTTAGTACTGCCGGACTCATATAAGGAAGAACTCCGCAGATTTCTTGATTAGGTTTATTTAACTTAGCTGAACTGGTAAGTCCAAAATCATAATCTGTGCACATTCACGCATTAATATATTTCCAGGATGTACAAATCCCTTTTGTGAATTTCACGCAAATTATAAATAATATCAAATAAATAGTCAAATTTTTCGTAGTTGGAATTACATGCATTTTAATTCAGCTAACGCTTTTTTATCGGATCGACATCAAGTGAAAATACGTACATTTTTTTTTTTTTTTTTTTTTTCCCAAAAGAGAGGGTGAAGCAAGAACCCGTTTATTGAATAAATGCGCGATATAGAATTAAGGAATAAGTGATTTACATAGTAGGTCTATTTGTTTGGTAAATTTATTGTTTTGGGAACTATCTAGGTGAATTTTCGCATCTCTGAGGAGAATGTGCGGAGCTGCTTTTATGATTTGAGTTTCGGACTCTTCGATACTGAGGTTGAGTCTAGCAGAAGCCCGCCAAACATAATCGATAAGCCAGGAGGAGAGCCAGAGAGTAGCGAGAGAGAAGTCATTAGGATGTTGATTTAGGATATGGATAAAGGTGACGCGTCCGTCGAGATGACGTACGATTTCTTGTGTAATCATCTTGGTGAATGAGCATTCTTGAAGAAAGTGTTGGTGCGTTTGAGGAGACGTAGGGCACCAGCGACAGAAGATAGAGTCGATGGAGGAAGACCAAGAGACCCGTTCCTTCAGGGGTAGTGCACTACGATGCCATCTCCACGCGTTCACGTGAGTCTGTGGAGGAAGGTTAATTATGCCCAGGTTTTTCCATAGCACATTTTTTACTTCCGGCCACACTTTCTTGAGATATATTTCTTTTTTTAACTTGGTGGTGATGAGGGAGGTAGAGGAAGCAAAGTAATTCGGTCTACCCGCCAGAAACCAATTTTTTACAAAGGGTCGGTAGGCTGTTGGCCAGTCTTTCTTTTTGTATTGAAGACAGATTTTGGTGAAGTTGCTTTGGAAAGAGCTGATCATGGAAAGTTGGTGTTTGGCCCAGTTTTCTTTGACATGAAAAAGTTTGGCGGTTGTCATGGCTGACCGAGCTTTGACGGCAGACTTGACGTTAGGAAGATTCCAGCCACCTTTGTTTTTTGGAAGTTGAATGATAGCGGAAGAGGGGAGGGATTTAGAATCACCTCTGGCCCATTTGTTTAATAAAGATTGTATAGTGTCTACTTGTCGCATT